GAGCCCTACGTGTTTGTTGATGGCTTTCTTCGTGGACTACCAGACTTCTAGGAACTCCTGTGCTTGTCTCTGCTTTGCTTGTCCCAGGATCTTGGTGTTATCCGAGTAGAATTGGTAGTTCTCCTTATCCATGTGGATAGAGATGAGTGAGTATTGGTACCAGGTATTACCACGCAGTGTAAAATACAAAATCTCATCGACAACCCACAAGCTCGCAAAATAGCTGAACAAAATGGCCGCAGGATGGTAACGGTAATGATAAACGACGCACACAATTGGCTCCACAGATATAACAGAAATTATGCGCCAAAAAACTTTATTCCTGGAAGCTACCAACCAAGACTGGACAATGGACCTAGAACGAGCCATCAACATCAGTCAACAGACCACAAGAGCCTGGAAAAGACAGACCGTTCAGGACAGAATAGCCAAACTAACCCACCAAAACGACAACACCAGAGCAGACACTTGGATAAGAAACTTCTCAGACAGAAAACTGACAGACACAAAAAGCCATTCTCATCTGCGGACTTAACTATAACTACAGAGACGCCGACAAAACAGAATTCCTAGCCACACTAGAAGCCACACTAAGCACCAACAGCATCAAGGAAGAAGCACAACAAGCCATAAGACAGACAGTGATCCCGACACTGACCAGAAAAAGCAAACTCAACACCCTCAACACATCAGAAAGGAAAGCCCGAGAAAGACTGAAAAAATACAAGAACATCACAATACTACCCGCAGACAAAGGGCGCATGATAGTAATACTAAATAAATGGGACTACCTCTCCAAGGCACAGACGTTACTAGCCGACAAGAACACATACCGGCAAGTACAGACAGACTTGACACCACAACTAGGCAACAAGATCCTCAACGCGCTAAAGAGACTCAAACAACTGGACAGATCAACAAAACAGACTTCCTAAGAATGAAACCCGAAGGAACTAACACCCCCCAATTCTACGGCCTCCTGAAAGTACACAAACTGGAAGTACCCCTTAGACCCATTGTCTCCCTACCAGGCACGCCATCACATAGATTAGCCAAGGAACTACAAAGTAGACTAAAGCACCTCATCAGCAAGTCACCCCACTCCATTCACTCAGCCCAACAGTTTCTCAATTCCATCAAGGACATAAGAATAGATGACGACGAGACCATGGTATTATTCAACATTACTGCCCTATTCACATCGATAGACATACCACTAGCAAGAGAACCAATGACAACACTACCAAAACAAGAACAAGACCCCAGTGACACTACCTCCACAGACAACACGCTGAAGCTACTAGACCTATGCCTCACCACCCACTTCACCTTTAACAGCCAAATATACGAACAGATCAACGGGACACCCATGGGATCATCTATCTCCAGACCTACAGCCGAAGCGGTGATGCAGAGACTGGAAAGTATGGCCCTTCCGCTAATCCAACCAAAACTATGGATACACTACGTGGGCGACACCTTCATCATTATTAAACGGAACAACCTGGAGAAGACGAACTAATAAACAACACCCTCGCCGGAATCAGATTCACCAGAGAAGAGGAGAAGAACAAACAGCTCCCATTCCTGGACGTCATGGTAGAGTGCAGCACAAATGGAGAATTCCTAACAAAGGTACACAGGAAAGCCACACACACTGACCAAGTACTGAATTTCAACGGCAACCGCTCTAACACACAAACGAAGCTGCATGAGAACATTATTTAAACGGGCAACAACACACTACAGCAACACAGAACTACACCAAGAAGAAGAAGAGTACCTCTTCCAGGTATTCAAAGACAATAGATACCTGAAAAACTGGGTCAGAAAATGCCTATCACATGATCAACACCAGGAAGATACTACACGCCCCGACACACTCATTACCCTACCTTACATCAGGAACATGTCTGAACTGACCTCAAGACTCCTATGACCACTAGGCATCAGAGTAGCACACAAACCCACATCATCCCTATGACAACTGCTCACCCAAACCACAGACCCACTGCCCACTATGGACAGGACCAATGTCATATACAAGATTCCCTGCAGAGACTGTGACAAACACTACATCGGACAAACAGGAAGGAAATTAACAACAAGGGTACACGAACATCAATTGGCTACAAAAAGACACGATCAATACTCACTCATCTCTATCCACATGGATAAGGAGAACCACCAATTCGACTGGAACAACACCAAGATCCTGGGACAAGCAAAGCTGGGACAAGCACGTGAATTCCTAGAAGCCTGGTTCTCCACTAAGAAAGCCATCAACAAACACACAGAGCTCGACCCCATATACACTCCACTGTGAAGGAAAACTGGAAGTGAGGTATTCCAGCTCAACGGACTCCGGAGTTTAAATAACAGGTGGGAAAACACAACGGTGCTTCATTTGAGGCTGCACTGATGATGTTACCCAGTACGGTAATGAAACGTCTGCGAAACAATGAAGCAGCTTGGTGAGCCAACCAATGACAATAGTAATCATTTATATATATGTTATTTTGTCACACATTTTGACAGAGTTAGAGTTAAGCCAATCTTTTAGTTTTATTTTGTCTGTATTTAACTGTAGTATAAAATGTAAAGTGTGTTTTCTTAATGTCGAAAATTGAATTGCATCTAGAACACAATGCCTTACACTTTAAAATAAGGAAAAGTTAGGATCTAGACTATCTTCCTAATATATTTTGAGGGGTTGTGGTCTGGTCTGTAACATCATAATCTAACTTTAAATAATGTGCAGTCTTACCATTGAACTACATAAATAGTACAATTATTGTGACATGCAGTTAGAGTTCCAATCCATCTCAATATGTGAAGAAAAATGTAGAACCACAAGTTATAGAACATCTTAATGCAACTAATAGGTTTGGTTTCAAGTTTTCTTAGTTGGGTGAATCTGTACTTTGTAAATCTGGTAGGTAGGGTTGGCAAAGAGGACAGATAGGAGGTGAAGCTATGATACCATGCTGCTGGTTCTCAGACTCATGTTCTCTGTGAGTGCTGCTTTCGGTTGACAGTGTGGCTCATAGGATCATCTCTTTCCTGTGTGAGTATATAGAGCAACATTTCCCTGCTGCCACAACACAAGTGTTTTACTGTATATATAGTTACTGATAATTGCTACAAACTGATTCGGTGTGTTCGCGCGTATGTTCTCGCGCGCCTGTGTGTGTGTGTGTGTGTGTGTGTGTGTGTGTGTGTGTGTGTGTTTTAGAATTGGTGGGGAAGACGGCCGGAGTTGCTGAGCCCACAAACTAATCCAAAGAAAATATTCAACTTTTTAAAATTACTCTGGCTGAGAGCTCCTGTTGTTACAGTATTAGCACCAACATTGGAAAATATGTAAGAGACAAAAACCGTGAATGCTGGAAATCTTTAGCAAAATGGAAAATTCTAACAATGGGCCATAGACTATTTGGAAGAGAATGATTACGTAATGTTTTGGATAGATTTCTCAATTAACATTTCTTTACAAGCTTTAGTGTCTGCAATAACAAAGTCAGCAAAATTTAGTTGTTTTAATATGATTGGTGGATTTAAAAAAAAAATACATCCCTGGATGCCGAGGGAGAACTTCACGCATTTTTTCCGGCTTTATGCATTGAGCTCAATCGAGGAGCCAATTACTGCAGGTGCTGGAATCTGAACTTAAAACAAGAAATGCTGGAGATCACAATGGATCAGGCAGGATCCATAGAGAGGAAGCAAGCTAACCTTTCAAGTCTAGACTGGAAACATTAGCTTGCTTTCTCTCCATGGATGCTGCCTGACCCGCTAAGTTCCTGAGATAGGAAGATGGAAAATAAGGCATAGTTCCTGCTCCTAATCATGATCAAGGAACTGCTATTGGAAAATGTACCCATGTGGGCACAGCATTGGGTTTTGCTGCATTGACTCTTGGGGGTGATGGCCTAGTGGCATTATCGCTGGACTGTTAATCCGGGCACCCAGATAATGTTCTGGGGCCCAGGTTCGAATCCCACCACGGCAGATGGTGGAATTTGAATTCAATAAAATATCTGGAATTAAGAATCTGATGATGACTGTGAATCCATTGTCAATTGTCGGAAAAAAATCCATCTGGTTCACCTAAGGTCCTTTTAGGGAAGGAAGCTGCCATCCTTACCTGGTCTGGCCTACATGTGACTCCAGACCCACAGCAATGTGGTTGACTCTGAACTGCCCTCTGGGTAATTATGGATGGGCAATAAATGCTGCTTAGCCAGTGACACCCTCATCCCATGCATGAATAAAGGAACCTGCTGTCAGTCACTACTACAGCTTATGTATGACAAATTATCATCCAAGTGAGGCACTGGATAACATTGCGCAAAACAAAGCAGCACCCTGAAACAGATAAGTTTGTTTTTCCCTTCTGATAGGCACTAAATTTGGAGGGTGTTAAGAAATGTTTTGATTAATTTTCTTCATTCATTTTAGATAAGTTTTGTATTAAACTTGGTAAATTTGATGCACATTATGAACAAGAGATTAATCAAACTATTTGCCTCAAACTCCAAATGCTAATTTCTTATCAAATTGAATCTGAAAGATCCCTCTTTGTTCATTAAGTAACAAAGTTAGTGGCTGCTTTCTATGCATTTTAAGCTGTTCCAAATAATCTTGGAATTAAAAACTTTAATTTGAAAATAATGTCTTACATTAACCCCTTTTAATTGTATGTGGAAATTTGTGATCGAATATTATGTACGTGGAAGACATACAGTGTCTCAATTTAAACTTTTTAATCTTTGTGAATAAAGTTTAAGTATTTTATTTTTATTGCTAATAGTATGAAGAATTATAGTGAAACTGTAATTAAATTTCACAGTCAAATAATAACCAGAATTTATTAGCTAATTTTAAATGATCAGTATTTAATGCTGAGATTTAGCTCAGTTTGTCATGATGGTGGTTTGCAGTTGTGAAGTTCAGAGAGAGAAAAAAAGTTATATTCCTGGTACAAAATTGTTTTGCAGATCAGTCTGTTAAAGATCTTTCAGCTCTGGATATGCCAAGAGAATCTGCCTCTGCTCCAGCACTAGAAGCAGCTGTGCCAGAGACCAGTTGCCACTCTTCCATATCAAGTAAACTAATTAAAATACTGTGTGCAAAATGCTTGTCTAATTAGTTCCACACTTTTAATAGTTTCTAACATAGCAGCTTAGTATACATAAACACGTGTGCTATGGCCATGATAAAGAAAATCTTTGTTTTTGGTCACTTTGTGGATCATCTTCAAAGCTGTGGTCAACATGTTGTCTCCTTTGGTTGTTGTTGTCTGCTAGGGATGAGTGTCAAGCTGAATTGAGAAACCATAGTAACTCAAATCAAGCCATTTTACTTCTACTTGTGAGTACATAAGTACATAAACAGATGCAGGAATAGGCCATCCGGCGTTTCAGAATTTCTTCCCATTCAATAAGATCATGGTTGATCCAACCATGACCTCAGCTCCAGTTTCCCTGCCACCCCACCACTACCATAACCCTTGACTCCTCTGTAAATCAAATAATCCTTTTAACTCAGCCCTGAATATGAGTCATCCAGTCTCTACTGTTCACAGGGTAGGGCTTTTCAATGATTATCAACCTTCTTAGAGGAAATAAAAATCCTTCTTACCCTTAAATAAAAACTGAAAGAACTATGGATGGTGTAAATCAGGAAGTAAAACAAAGTTGCTGGAAAAGCTCAGCAGGTCTGGCAGTATCTGTGAAGAAAAAATCGGAGTTAACGTTTCGGGTCCGATGAGGAAGGGTCTCTAAACCTGAAATGTTAATTCTGATTTATTCTTCACAGGTACTGCCAGACCTCTGAGCTTTTCCAGCAACTTTGTTTTTGTTTCTTCTTACCTTCTTATTTAAATGGGAGACACTTATTCTGAAATGTGACCCCTAAGTCTAGATTCCACGGTGAGGGGAGATATCCTCTTAGCATCTATCTGGTGAAGCCCTCGCGATCTTGTATGACTAAATAAAATCCCTATAGTTCTTTTACAGTCCGAGGACATTAGACCAACCTGCTCAACCTTTCCTCTTAAGATAATTCCCTATACCATGAAACAACCTGGTAAGCTCTCTGTGAACTGCTACTGATGTCAGCACCCTTAAATGAGAGGAGAAATTTTATGCGGTACTTGGTCACTATGCCATATATTCTTAGAACAAAGATCCCAACTTTTATACTACAACTATACTTGGGTTCGACCTTGACACCGATGAAGGCGTTAAGGAAAAGTTCTTCTATGACCTTTATGGCCTTAACAAACACTTCTGCCGCAAGGGCAAGTACAAAATCACATGGAGGAATCCCAGTTTAAAGCATTAGCACCTCCTGGATGATGCTGTTGTTCAGGTCAAAGATCTAAATGCTGTCTGTACCACCTAATTCCTGCAGGAACTCCTATCTGCTGGACAGATATTGATTTGTTTGATTCGTGATGAACATCTACCTAGCACCAAGACATTACAAGGCCCAAAATTCCAAGAGGAAGAAGATTGATGTCAAAGAAAGGAATTCCAAGCCCACAACCATTCTGGAAAATCTTCAAACCTCCAACTCAATTCCAGAACACTGGGATCAAATAAATACAATCGTAATATACTCCAGATGCATCCAGATAGAATGCTTTCTTTAAATACACCGTAGAAAGCATTCCATCTGGATGCATTACATCATGGTTTGGCACTGCTCTTCCCAAGACCACAAGAAAGAGTTGTGAACACAAACCAGTTCATCACGCAAACCAGCCTTCCATCCATTGACTCCATCTATACTTCCTGCTGCCTCGTGATAGCAACAGACATTATCAAAGACCCCTCCCACCCAGGTTATACTCTCTTCCACCATCTTCCGTTGGAAAGGAGATATAAAAGTTTGTATAAAAATATGAATAGATTCAAGAAAAGCTTTTTCCCCGCTGTTATTAGACTTCTGACCTCTCAAATTTTAAATTTAATGTTGATCTCGCCCTCTTTGCATCTTCTCTGCAGCCATAACATTGTAGTCTTCAAACTGTTATGCTATCATGTGCACTCTGTTTGGTGTGATCTGCCTGTATTGCACACAGAACAAAACTTTTCACTGTACTTAGGTGAATGTGACAACAATAAATCAAATCAAATAAAATTCTGTGCCCAGGCCTTTGCGCTCAACCATATTCATTACCAGGACTGATTTGATGAAACTGATAGTCAAATATGTGACCTCTGAAATAAAAATAAGCAGCCTGCATTGTCTGTCAGAGCATCTGAAGATTGTAACTTAAGAAAACAGCATTGCATTAGCTTGAGGTGATCCCCAAAGACAAATCTGGAAGACAAATTAAAAATGTGTGTTGTGAAGAGAAAGCCCAATAGATCTAACAATATGCTGATAATTGTGACATGCGAAGTGATTTAAATGTTGCTATAGACCAGCGCAAAATGGACAAAATCCCATGTGTTCACAGGATGGTGTTTCTCTACTTAACGGTGACAATACCATCTGTTGATCCTGGAAAAAACATTTTGAACAACTTCTCAACTGTGAATTCACAGACACGGCTGATATGTTCTGGGCTATTCCCGAGAACACTGCAGCAGAGACCACTGACGAGCCAACATCAATGGGACAGTTGCAGCAAACTATCAAATAAATGAAAAGAGGCAAAAATTTAGCCCCAGTGGTATGCCAGTTGAGGTCTTCAAAAATGTTAGACTTTAGCTGCACCAAGACTTCATACATTAGTCCTACAGATTTGGGAGGTAAAGAAACTTGCTTACTCCCCCTTCGCTCCCACTGATGTCAGGAATATGACAAATATAGCAATCATCAAGAAGGGAGATCAAGCATTGCTGTGGAGTCTATTGAGGTATTTCCTTCTTGACTATGGCATGTTAAAATCCTGACATACACATTCCTGAATTCTCTACTTCCCATGGCTGAGGAGATGCTCCCTGAGTCATGGTGTGACTTCAGTCTCCCAGAGGCACTTTTAACCTGATCTTTGTTGTCAGATAAATTTTAAAAAAAATTGAGAGCAATACCAGAACTCTTCATTGCATTCACTGACCTGACCAGAGTACTTGAGTCAGTTTATCATGAAGCCCTGTGGATTACGCTGCAAAGATTTGAATATTTGAAACTTCACAGTCCTGCGGTTGTTTCATGATGATATGTCACGATCTCAGGTTAGATATCTGAAACAACTTCAAAGTTCAGATTGAAGTCAAGTGAGGCTGAGTGATAGCCCCCAGACTATTTGCAATCTACCTACAGTTGCTATTTACTTCATCAAAGAACAATTGCCTTCTGCTGGCAGTGTTAAATCATCTTGATGGAACACTCTTTAACTTCAGTTCTCTTTGAGCCAAACTGAACTGTAAACATACATTTACATCTAGCAGATAGCTATAGTGTCACTCCCACTCTGCACCAGATGTGCAAACCAATCTTCTTCACTTCGACATGTGAGATACATGTCCTATTCTTGAAGGTTGCTAAAACAAAACTGATGAGTCAACCCCACTGGTCAGATAACTATCATACCTCTCAGATCTGTTGTAGGAGACACTTTGAATTATGTTGATGACTTCCAATGCCTCAGCAGCCACCTCTGTCAAGAAGCCTCCACTATTGATGAGGAGACCCAAAACGACCAGCTGTGTCAGTTCAGGCTTCTAACAATTACAGCAGTGAGTGTTTACAAAGACCTCCACAATGTAACAAAGTCATAACACACAGAGCAGTTGTCACCATGCTGTCGTACTACAATGAGATCTGGGCTATGTATCGGCGATACCTAATTTCACTAGAGAAACTCCTACAACAGTGACTCTGCTACATTCTCTGAATTTGATGGGAGGACAATCACTAGTAGCCTCCTTGAAGCCAACCTCACGAAACATATCGGCAGAACTCTTACAAATCAACTTCAATTGACTGGACAGTTTCTTACCAGCTTCTGTTCTCTCAATTCTGAAATGGCCAATATTTCATGAGGAGAATAAAGAAAACAGTTCAAGGCATGCTAAAGCTCTTCTTGAGGTGTGGCGGCATGGATCATAATGACTTGAGTAACATGCTACCAGTTGTTCAAAATGGTGGTAAATTTTCCATCAAGCTGCCTCATGCTTTAAATTTATTGATAAGACAGAACAGCAGAAAAGAAGGAAGGAAAATAAATATCCCTGCCTTCCAGACCACACTACCTCATGAGAAGTCCTACCTGGAGATGTCCTGCTGTAAGTGCCCAAATGTATCTGGGTTGAAAATCAGCCTTGTTCAGTTACACAAAATCCTCCGACTGAAACTCATGACCCTTAGTGGCTGTCATCCTTAACTCTAGGTCCAGCTGATGTCTGCAACTGATGGTCCACGTTTCACTCAGTTTGAACTTTGGAAAGATTAAATACTTTCCTTTTCTAAATGAAAGAAAATGGCCTTATGTACGTTTGCCGTACTGTTTTGTGCTCTGCAGTACCATTCATTTTGCAAAAAGTACATTTTACACATATCCACTTGGTAGTCAACAAAGTGTTACTTCTGAGTCGTACTTAGTCATAGCAACAGTTTTTTTTTGTCTAAAATGTTTTAGTTTCTCCTTTATGATCTTGAACTTGAGAATAAACTTTTACTCACCAGGAATAGTGTAGTTGTGTTGGGCTTAATGGAAAATTCAGATCTAACTGATCTGCTTGGAAAACATGATCCTTCATCTGAAAATTCCTCAGCAAAAGTAAATTTATCTTTGCATTTAAATGTAAATGTCTTCATGATTGTTCTGAGCAGAAAAAAAATCTTTTGGCTAAGTAGAATATCTTCTACTTTTTAAACATAAAAATTGTCATTCTAATGAAAAAATGTACTAAACTCAGTGTAGGATCTGTTGAAGCTTTGAGGATGATTTTAACCCAACTGGCCAGGCAAGAAACACATTGAATCAAGTAAAATGCCGGCTTTACTCTGCATTGGCTTCAGTGGGGTGTACAATCAGGAATGGGGGGCTGGGTGTATAATTTGCATTGCAGTTGATTGTCTAGTTTCCCAAAGAATAGTTTAGGTTAAAAGTGTCCTGTTTAATTCTGTATATGTATGTATCTGTATGCATGTGTATGTCTGCAATTGTGTGGATGCAAGCCAGTGCATTATGAGGAACCTCAAAAGAGGATCTTGATTAAATAAATTGTTGTAAAACAATCAAGATAGAAAATCAACTCGGAATGTGATATGTAATAGTTGAAGATCTGATCCTCAATTGAGGAGCACTATACATTGGTAATGTTTCTCGATACTCCTGATTAGCTGTGTGCCTTCAGTTTTGAAATCCAATTATGTCTGCCAATCTTAAGGATGGAAGATCATTGTAACTTTTGCGTAAATTTTGTGCTGAATCTTCCACTTCATTATTGTGTTGCACCAGTCTTCAAACAGTTACCTGAAATGTTGCCAAATGGTGACTGTTTATGGATCAGTATGGCACTCTGAATTTGAATGACAGCAGTGAGTTTGAAGTCACGTATTTATCAGAGCTTTTCTGTATCAGTCACTTCACCTTTCACCCATTGGTCAGAAAATTTCTGATATGACAAAACCCTTCGGCTTACACAGCCAAGAGATATACATGTACTCTACTGCCATATCTTCACCTAAAAGGCAACAGAAATTTTGTTTACAGATTTATAGAGATTATGTGCGGTGAAGGCTGTGTAAATTCCTGGCTGTGCATGTAAGTCTTTTCATTTCTGTCAAATTATATGTCAAGTACTAAATTTGATACAGTGGTTAATCAAGTTTAAATGTGCATTTTAGTGAAGCCAGCAAAGTGAAAACTCTGGATTTTAATCAGCTCATTACTGCTGGATCCATATGATGACAGCAAGCTGTTCCCTGAACCCAGTGACTACAGACCTCACTGGAAAGTGGTAACAGAACAGTATTTGTAAAGGAATAAAAACAAATGATTAACCACTACATTATCATTTACTTGAGCACTGAGTTCCATTTATTTTACATCAGGTCCACCTGTTTCAGTATTTATTTTTATGCCATGTTTAGTTCAATATAGGCAAATGAAAAGGGGATCCCTGGGGGCCCTGACACTGAACCAATTAATGAAGAGACAACTGGAACATCAGTCCAGTGCACCTCACAACATCAGTAGCTGGGACACTGGTTAGTATGTTCTACATTACAATATACACATAGTCAAACCTTGCTATTGCCAATGTGTTAAGACTGCTGATTCGTACCATTGTTCATTATGTCATGTTAGAACATTTTGCTGAGCAAGGTGGAGTTTCATGAGAACCAGAGAAAAACACATTCATAATATAGTTTGTTGCAAAAGGTTTGATTAAACCTTTCGATAGGTCGCTGGCTCATTTCAAATAACAGTCATGGCATTGTAAGAATTGAAAATAATTAAATTTAAATTGCTACATTTGTTTTCATGAATTTGTCTCCAATTCTTTGTCAGCTTATTTTTTAAAGAGTTTCAGTTGAACATGTGAGAAGTTTAAGTGCTTGAAAATCTCTTTAAAATTAAATGTGTTCGTTGATCACTGCCACCGATAAACAAGAAACATAAACTAACTAAATGATTTCTGTGTACTCGAAGCATGACAGTAGGATCAAATTTTTCAATGTTTCCTTCCAATTTATTTTGTCATTAAAAACCTTTAACCCTTCTGACATATTTTCACTAAAGGACTGCAAATTGAGCCCAGAATTAGGTAAGCTGATTCCTTTCCTCAGTCCATGTTTCTGATTCGCCCATACCTGGCTCTGGGGGTGAAAAGGACCTGGGTGGCCTTTGTACACTCACTCTGATCAGAGCAGGCACACTTTACCACTGAATTGTGGGTAAAGGGTTCGGGTCAGCACCAGGATCTGGACTCTGAAGAAAATTTGAACTGTTTTATTCTAAATTATCCTATTGCAAAGAATAGCCACTGGGGGACACTGATACTTTCTACTCAAGGAAGGGAAGGATGTAACACTTCAGGCCTTTACCTGATATTCTGTGTCATAGAATTAAACACCTTACTGCATGGAAGGAAACCATTCACTCCATTACGGCTGCAGGGGTTGACAAGTAGCCACCCAGGTGGCACGGTGGCTCAGTGGTTAGCACAGCTGCCTCACAGCACCAGGGACCCGGGTTCGATTCCACCCTCGGGCGACTGTATGTGTGGAGTTTGCACGTTCTCCCCGTGTCTGTGTGAGTTTCCCCCAGGTTCCCTGGTTTCCTTCCAAAGTTCAAAGATGTGCAGGTTAGGTGGATTGGCTGTGCTAAATTGCTCGTAGTGTTCAGGAATGCCTAGATTAGGTGGGTCATAGGGGAATGGGTCTGGGTGGGATGCTCTGAGGGTCGGTGTGGACTTGTTGGGCTGAGGGGCCTGTTTCCACACTGTAGGGAGTCTGGTCTAATATTACTTCCCAGTTCTTGGTCCATATCCTTGTAGGTCACAGTACTTCTCAGGTGTATATCCCTGTACTTTATTAAAGTTATCAGTGTTCCTGTCTGTGCTATCCTTTAGGGAGTGATTTGCAGGTTTTCCTTATATTAATTCACAAGATCTGGGCATCACTGTCCAAGCCAGTATTTATTTGCCCATCCCTAATTGCCTAGAGAGCTTTTTTCAGTATCAGCCACATTGCTGTGGGTCTGGAGTCTCATGTAGGCCTCTGAACAGGTAAGGACGGCAGTTTCCTTCCCAAAAGACATTAGTGAACCAGATGGGTTTTTCTGACAATTGACAATGGTTTCACGGTCATTATTAGACTCCTAATTCCAGGTATTCGTTGAATTCAAATTTTGCCGCCTACCATGGCAGGATTCAAATGGGTCCCCAGAACATTACCTGGATCTCTGGATTAACAGTATAGCCATTATAACACTATGCCATCATCTTCCACCACTCTCTGGATGAAACAGTTTACACTTGAATTCCCTCTGAATCTTTTGTCTCTTACCCTAAGTCTCTGACCCCTGAACCAAGGGTAGTAAAGCCTTCTCACCCGAGCAATATCCTTGATAATTTTATGCACTTCAGTTAGATCTCCCCACAACTTCCTCTGTTCCAAAGCAAGCACCTCTAGCCTATACAACCTTCTGTTATAACCAAAATTCTCTAGCAGAGGTAATATTTTTATAAATATTCTCTGTCATATCTCTAACACAATCACATCTTTACTCTAGTGTGGTGAACAGCACTGCAGGCAGTACTCCTGGTGTGGCCTGACAAATGTTTAGTTGAAGTTTGAAGTCCCAGTTGTAACATATTATGCTTTGGCTAATAAAACCAAGTGTCCTACAAGGCGATTTTAGAAAGCAGTTAATTCCTGTATCTTTGTATTGGAAAGTAATATGAAACTAGAATCAGTAACCTTGCTGTTCTGCTCCCTGCATTTTGTTGAATTTACCAACAAGAGCTTCACAATTAAAAGTAAAAACTCAAACACGCAAAAAGTTATTTTCGAAACACTGCTTGAAGAAGAACAAGAGGCATTTCTTATTCAATTAGCTGTTTAACCTAACTGCATTTTATTTCCAATCTCATTTAATTTTAGGACCACTTTGTTGTCCTTAATGTTAAGCATAATACTGGTTTCAATGATGTTTTGCAGCCAGCTATCAGCTTTGTCAGTTGGTAGTACTCTCACCTTTGAGTCAGATGGTAGTGATTTAAGTTCCACTGCAGGGTTGGAATATGTAACCTAGATCAATGCATGGTATTGAAGGAGTGTAGCATTGTTGAAGCTGCTGTATTTTGAATCAATTTAAGCTGCCTGTTTCGCTTAGTCAATGACATCCTTTGCAGAGTACAAATTCTCCCTAACAAATATTCCTCCACAACCCAACCTGTTTTTCTAATCAACCTATTCAGAGATGTTTTTACACAGCTCTGGAGCAGGTGGGACTTGAACACATGCATCCCAGTCCAGGGATAAGGACACTAGCACTGCACCATAAGAGGGTCCTTCTCCACACCCCAACACAATTTTAAACAGATTAACTAATCATTCATCATATTTGCCATTTGTGGGGTTTTTCTGGACGTAAATTGGCTGTTATAATTATCTACGTAACAGTGAAGTCATTGTGAAGTGCATTGGAACGTCCTGAGATCACAATTAGGTGCCACATAAACTATATTGCATTCTTTCTAAATCTGTAGCTTTTCTTTTTTTTTTTCAGTTGTTCCAAATCACTCACCATTTATTAAATTGTAAGAATGGCACAGGAGCAGACCATTTAGCCCAGATGGTTTTTGCAAGCAATGTTGCACACAACGTGCGCCTCCTCCCATCCTTTTTCTTTGCAATTTGCTATTTTTATTGCTTTGGTGAGGGTTTTACTTATTTTTCTTACTTTTTTTATTCCACTGTCTATAAGGTACAAGTCAGGAGTGTTTTGGAATACTCCCTACTTGTCTGGATAAGCACAGCTCCAACAACACTCCAGAAGCATGGCACCCTCCAGGAAAAGCAGCCTGCTTGATTGGCACCACATCCACAAGCATTCATTCCCTTCATCACCGACGCACAGTAGCAACAGTGCAAACGGTCTACAAGATTCACTGTTGTACTCCACTAAGGCTTCTCAGGCAGAAACTTCCTATCACACAATTTCTACCACCTAGAAGGACAAGGGCAGCAGATACATAGGGACACTGCTATGTACAAGTTCACCTGCAAGCCACATCCCATTCTAACTTGAGCATATATTGTTGCTCCTTGATGGTTGCTGGGACAAAATCCTGGAACTCCTCTAACAGCACTGTAGGTGTCACTACAATGCAAGCATTGCAGTGATTCAAGAATGTAGTTCACCAGCACCTTATCTAGGGCAATAAGAGATGGATAAAAAATGCTGGCTTAGCCATCCACATTCCATGAATGAATTTAAAAAAAACATCATTTGTTTCTTTGATGGTTGCTGCGATAAATAGGAAAATTCACATTGATTTTTGAAGTCAAAAGTAATGCAGCGTTTAAGATAAAAATCAGACAAATTTTAGCCCTCAAGCAGCTATTATATTTGGAGTCTTGCTGATAGAAATGTACTAGATATACAGTGTGTGAGTACTAGAATAGCTTTTTTCCTCCAAATGAAATATGAAGAGCCTTAAATTTTATGATTGAGTCTATAACTTTTGTCTAAATAGTACAGTAAAGGAAGAATATTAGAGTGCATTATAGAGCCCAATTCCATTCTCAAGGCTATTTATGGTTCAGATTACACAGAGGCTTGTAACAGTGCTTAGAAAGAGAAAATTGAAAATTAATCAATGGATCCTTCTGCTAACAGCAGCTGAATTCATGTTGCATTTTCATATTTATAATTCTTGAACAATTTTTAAATGAAAGTTGGTCAGCAAAGCCCAGGTAAAATCCATATGGAAAATCTTTGTGCCTGATATGTCTATGCAGTTACTTAGCAGTGATGCATAATGAGCTGTCAATTTCATTAGGGAAATAACACTCCAGCTGTTTCTCAGATATGCCTAGTGCCATGTCAAAGTTATTGGTTCCAGAATGTTGCTGGCAGCTGTGCAAAGCTCCATTGAAGTGAGCTAGCTGGATTTGCCTAACTCAGCAGCAGGAAAACCCATTTGTTTTTTTTTCTGCCCACTGGCCTTATCAAATCTGACAACTTTGCTTAGATAACAAGGTGTGGAGCTGGATGAACACAGCAGGCCAAGCAGCATCAGAGGAGCAGGAAAGCTGACGTTTCGGGCCTAGACCCTCCTTAATCTGCAGTTCCTACTATCTCTGAAATGACTTTGCTTAGATGTTCGCATTTGCTACCCGAGACTCAGTCACTATTTCTGTGTTTCTATGAGACCTGAGGTTGGTGCTAGTCACCACTGGCATTGCAATTATCAGATGCATATTCATGACATTCAAATGTACAGGCACATTACACTCAAGTTCAAGAAAGGGCTGATATGCCCTTTACTATAATTATTAAATTAAACAACGTAATTGGGAAATATATATCTGAGAAAAATCTATTGGTCCACTAATTTGGGATTTTTCAGGAAAAACGGTTAATCTGAGTTCTGAAGGCCTACTCTAGCATGTCATACATGACTATTGTAGATGCATACATTTGTAATTTATAAAAGTAAACAAAGCATTGTGCTGAATATGCACCCATTCATACTGCAGCTGTTTGTTACAGATATACCAATCCAAGTGAGCTCTTCAGTCTTCTCTTATGTATGTATGTTATGCCCCTCAGTCCCACCAGTGTATTTAAAAGCAGGGTTGCACATATATTAAAGCAGGTTGCCAGGACCTTCCTGCCAATCTCAACCAGCCCTTCATCTTGTAGGGTTAGGGTAAGGTATCAAACAGGTCGCCTAACCTCCAGCTATTAAAGCATTAAGTCCACTTCTGAATAAGTGCCTTAATTGCTTCTGGTGCACATTTTTGGTCATTCGGAGTTTCCCTATGCCCATTGGGTGGGGGGGCAACCATATGATTTCACCACTGTTCATTTGCCCCACACTGCCCACAATCACTCTAACCTGAGCCTCCACTTTTCCCCCTGGCTGGAGTCTCCCAGGCTTGCCCATTCATAGTCCGTGCACTTGCCTGAAGTCTGTGAGGCATCCTCATTTCTTCCTCTAGACTCCTTTTAGTCCCACAGCCACTAATCTCTTAGAATGTGAGTAGCCAGATTTCTGGTTGGTGCTATGCTAATAGATATTTTGACCAGGGAAGGTCATCTGTACCCTTGTGAAATCCACTATAACTTTACTCTTATACTTCTCAAAAATTCTACTTTCTTGCATGTTCAATAACAGATGTGACATTTATCAACAAAGATTAGTCAGCTAATCAGCTAAGAAAAGATTTTGTCACTTAAAAGTTTGACTGGTAAAATATTTAAAAGGTCCCATCTCTCAATTAAACTGTGTGTTTTGAAACAACATAGCCAACTTTGTGGTGCTTTCACCAAAGTTTTACAACAGCAAACACAAATCTATGTTATGTAGCATTACCTAACCCCATTTAAACTCATTGTTCATCACAGAAGTTAAATTCTGACTAGATGCTCCCCAAATTCCCACCAGCATAAAACCTGTAAAATGATGCTTGAAAGCAGTTTTACTAATTTGAATATATTCAGTGTAATTTGGAAGAGCTGTTTACAACTTTTATATTAAATCTTGTGAAAACTGTGCAAAATAGCTCTTATTTGGACAGATTTAAGCACTTTAGTATTTTGCTTTTATACACTTTCGAAAATTTGTAACTGCCTGTTATCTTTACAGGTGCAACAAAATCTAGTTTGCTTTCAGCGCAGAGCATAGTCAGCATGTTTGTTCCTGCACCAGAAGAATTTACAGATGATCAGCCAACGCTAATGTCTGACAGGTAATTTATTGACTGCCTTTATGACCACATCTAAATAAATATAAACGTGAATGGCAGATGTAGAGGAAGTGAAGGCAAATTCTCAAACCAACTGTAATATGAAGAAGTAGTAGGACTCTGTAGTGCTATGCAGTTTTTACAAAGACTAGGCATAATTCATTTGTACCATTAAGAACTTTGCTTTTTTTAAATTCACTTTTGGTCTCATCTTTCTGGGTAAGTGCTGGCATTGAGGATTTTCATTCGCTATCAATGTGATTTTCTGAGCTGCATTGAGAAACAAGAGAGACTCCCCTTTGAGAGCATGGTTGGAAAATGGCCTCCTCAATGTTTACAGTTTTGGAAGATAAAAGCAGACCAAATGCAAAATAAATAGAAGTAGGAATTGAAGATTGTATAAGTGGTAGCAAGGTTGTCACATGGTAAATATACATAGAAGGGATGTGTAATTTTGCATGTCACAACTCCACCAATATATGTTACACATTTTTGTAATTGTACAAAATCTATTGTAGACTAGAGAAGGTTGGGGGGGTGGGATCCTGATAGAGGTGTAAGAGATTATGAGGGATATGGACAGGGTAAATAGAAAGCAGCTGTTCCCCTTAGTTGAAGGGTCAGTAACAAGGGGGCATAATTTCAAAGTAAAAGGCAGGAAATTTAGAGGAGTTTGAGGAAACATAACATTCAAGGCTATGGCCTAGTGTAGTAAAGCGGGGCTAGGGTGGGAAGTAGTATATTTTTGGCAGTACAGAGTCGACGGGCCCACAGGCCTCTGAACTGTATGATTCTATGACTGGAGTGAATTGCATTTATAGGACAATACAACAGTTTTCACGGTGCATGGACCACGTTGATTTAGGATGCCTTCCTGGTAGGATTAACATTTGTACTTTTAATTCGACCTATATCAAGGAACCCCATTCAAATATGGAGTCACTCATGAAACTCTAACAAAACTCTTTTTTAAAAAAAAAAAAAAATTATTACATTTTCTACCAGTTACAAGTACTGTCAGGTCTAGGTCAACCTGAGTTTGCAAATTGGTTGCATGTAAGGCCCAATGCTTGCTATTGTAGATGTGTGGATAATTTCATGGGCTCAAGGCCCCATGAATTCTTAATCCAGCTTTTGTCAGTTTTACAGACTGCTGTTGTGGAATTTGAATTCACAGCTAGTGACTTTTAGTTCACATCCAGACTCCCACCCTTAGTGTTGAAAAACATTCTTACATTTTCATTCTTTGTTACAGATGTCTCGACTGTGGGGCTGTTCTTGAAGAGTATGATGAAGAAACGTTGGGGTTGGCTATTGTTGTACTTTCAACATTCACTCACTTGAGCCCAGACTTTGCTGCTCCTTTGCTGCTTGATATTCTGCAGTCAGTTGGAAGGTAACCACAGTTTGTAATATCTTCCTTGTTTGAAATGCATTGATGAAACTATGAAAGTTGGTTGGCTACAGCGAATATTTTAGCAAAACAGCAATGCCCGTTCTTCACTGATATTTTATGTGAATGATTGTTTTGAAGTGAAAGTACCTGTATGACTCATTTTTTGGTAAAATTTGATGACTTTTTTCATTTCAGACTGGCGTCAAGCACTCTTTTTTCTGGTCAAGCAGAAAGGTATTTACTTGCCTTTATGTTATAGTAACATATGCAAAAACATTTGTGTCTCTATTATTGTTTGCAGAGTGTCCCATCTTGTAATTATCCCCTTTCATAAAACTGATTTAAGTCCTTTGCCGTTCTTTTCATGCCTTTGTCCAGTCTCCAATTGCAGTGGCCGAGGGACATGGCAGAGTGATTGGTGTTCATTGATTTTTAGTAATGCTGCTGCTTTAGCCAGGAATAGGTGGAACTGCATTGAACCAGAAGGGCTGTCTATTTGATGTTTCCTACTTCATTGAAGGGAATGCCTCACTCTGTCTAAGCACCCTATGATCTATATGTCCTTCTTTGCTATGATCTGCCTGTACTGCTCACAAACAAAACTTTTCACTGTACTTGGGTGCACGTGACTACTATAAATCAAATCAAATCAAATCAATGTCGCCAGCCTATGTCATATGGTTTAGAGCAGGAACTCACTGATTACACACTATGTTTCCCACTTATCGACACTGCTGTGTGCAGCAATTGTTTTATCCACTTTCTTTCATACATCTACAAATACCTTTCAGTGTAAAGAGGAGACAGGCTGGGGATTTTTATGTGGAGACTTTGAATTGCTGCTTGACTTTTTCATGCCTGAGAACAAGATGCCGGCAATTTCAAATTGATGGTTGTGGGTTCAAAGAAAGGCGATCTGTGGCTACGTCTTGGATGGCCGTGATTCTTCTGATGCAGTTTCAATACAGGCCTATAACTGGACATAGAACAAGATTGCATCACGTGCCATTCAGGCTTATATAGCAGATGTATAGCCACCTTTACAATTTTCAGCCACAAATAGCACAGCATGCAGCCTGTTGTATCAAGCCTTGAGTGGCCTTGGCAAGAAGGAGGCACTCAAACAACTAATTGGAGGGATTCAAACATGGAACTTCAGAAAAGATTGACACAGACTTTGAAGAAAGGGAGGTTGGAGATGGGACAGTAGCTTGCAAGAATAGTGGTGTCAAGAATAGGTACTGAAAGTCCTACAGTGCTGGTCTGAGGTAACGAATGAGTTCCTACCTAACTGCTTGGAGTTAGTGGACTGGTCCATATTCAAGAACTCAGTGACTAAGCAAATGAGTATGCCAGTACTGTCACAGACTCCATCAGTAAATGCATAGAGGACTACATGCCAAAGCAGTTAATCCAAGTGTTCCCCAACCGAAACCATGGATAAACTGGAAGATACACTTCCTACTGAAGTCTAGCTCTGAGGCGTTCAAGTCGGGTGACCTTGACCTATACAGGAAATCTAGGTACACTACCTTTGGAAACTGTCAGGGACACCAAGAGACAATACCAGACTAAACTAGAGTCCTAGACTAACCACACAAACATACTCCAATTGTGGCCAGGTTTATACAACGTAATGGGCTATAAAGTGAAGTCTAATAGAATCGCTTGCAACAATGCATCCCTCCCTAATGAGCTCAATTCGAACAGAAGGGCTGCAAAATGATGTCACCTGCCCTGGCAGTCTCAGGTGCACCTGTACCCACAGTCACTGCCACAGACATCAGGTTGGCCTTCTTGAGAATGAACCTACAGAAAGTGACTGGCCTGGACCAGTTAGTGGGAGTATTCGTAGACATCTTTAACATCTCCTTACTGTGATGTGAGATTCCCACCTGCTTCAAGACCACTGTCATTATGATGCCTTAATGATTACCAGCCAGTGGCCCTGACTTGCATCATTATGAAATGCTTTGAAAGCTTAGTAATGGCACTCATCAAGTCCAGCCTCCCAAATCACCTTGATGCACAACAGTATGCCTACTGTCTGAACAGGTCCATGGAAAATGCCAGCTCCTTGGCCTACACTCATCCCTGGAACATCTGCATAACAAGGACACCTACGTCAACCTCCTATTTATTGACTTCAGCCCTGCGTTCAACACTATAATTCCAACCAAACTCATCTCCAAACTCCAAGACGTATGACTCTGCTCCCCGCTCTGCAACTGGTTCCTCGACCTGCTGACTCTCAAACTGCGATCAGTAAGGATAGGTGACAACACCTCCTCCACAATAATCCTCAAAACCAGTGCCCTGCAAGGCTGCATACTCAGCTCCTTACTATACTCTTTATACACTCATGAATGTGTCGCCAAATTCTGCTCCAACTTCATTTACAAGTTTGCTGATGACACCACAGTCGTGGTCGGATCTTAAAACAACAATGAAACAGAGCACAGGAAAGAGAGGGAGAGTTTAGTGGCATGCTGTAAAGACAACAATCTCTCCCTCAATGTCAGCAAAGCGAAGGAGCTGGTCATCAACTTAAGGAAGTGGCGTGGAGATTATGCCCCTGTCTGTATCAAAGGTGCTGACGTGGAGATGGTCGAGAGCTTTAAGTTCCCAAGAGTAATTATCACCAACAATCTATCTTGGTCCATCCACATCAATGTTATGGTCAAGAAAGCACAACAATCCCTGTACTTCTTCTGAAGGCTAAGGAAATCCAGTGTGTCCACATTGACTTTTCCCAATGTTTATAGATGCCCGATAGAATCCTATCTGGATGCATCACAGCTTGTTGTAGCAACTGCTCTGCCTAAGAATGCAAGAAATTATAGAGTTGTGAATGTCACCCAGTCCATCTTGCAAACCAGCCTTCCATCCATTGACTCCGTCTATACTTCCTGTGGCCTCAGGAAAGTAGCCAGCATAATCAAAGACCCTTGCTATCCTGGTTTATACTCTTTTCCACCTTCTTCCATCGGGCAGAAGATGCAAAAGCTTGAAAACATGTACCAACAGATTCAAGAAGCCACTTCCCCACTGTTATCAGACTTCTGAACAGACCTCTGAAATCTTAGAGTTGATCTTTCTCCGCATCTTCTTTGTAGCTGTAACACTATATTCTGCATTCTGTTCTATTACGTAAGGTATGATTTGGTAGGAAAACACGCAAACTTTACTTACCATTGTATCTTGGTACATGTGACAATAATACATCAAATAAAATCAAAAAGGTTTCCTGAGGGGAATTATGATGATGGCTGACTTAAAGGAGAGAGGAACAGCATTTGAAGAGTGAGAACTTTTAACAGCATCAGCAGGACCAGGAGGGGAGATTGAGTGTTTAGTTGGTAATTGAGAACGAAATCAAAGGAGCAGGATATGGGTCTCCGATGAGTGAGGAGTCAGTATGACTGGTTGTGGGAGAGAAGTGAGAGAAAACCCTTAATCTGGAGCCTAATTTTTATGCACTTGCCTCTCTTCAAATAAAATTTTTCTGTTCCACATCTCGTACCTACAGTCGAACCAATAAAATTTTTGCTTGCTCTCATAAATAGCATGGATAAATCACCAATCAATACCAATTTCACACAGTTGAGCACTGAATTAATACCCTAAATCTGCCATGATTTTGTGCCACCTATTCTGCTGGTCCATTTGTGATACCTAATTTTTTTTGCAGACTATGGGTTAAACCTAGGACCTACAAAATCCATATGATTCATTATATGTGCATGATGTTCTGATTGGGAGAAATTAGGGGCTTTGCTTTGAAGTAACATGTTTAGATTTCCTAATGATCTCTTTGTCAAGGTTGTAATGCTATTGTTGCATTTCCTTCTAAAATATGACATTGTATAGTAAATGTTTGCATAAAGTTTAACAAATCGTGAAATATAAATTTTACATTTTTTTAAGCATGATGATTCCTGGAAATGCTGCTGGTGTGGCAAAGCAATTTTTACGCTGCATTTTTCATCAGCTTGCTCCCAATGGTATACTTCCACAGCTATTCCAAAGCAACATTAAAGGTATGGCACTTTACAATATATGTCAGATGCAGTGGAATTTTGATGTAGAGTACCAAGACTTAAAAGTTTTCCAAATGCGTAAATACACTTCGAGTTTGTAATTTTATTTTGATGTTAGATGGAAGCTTCCTTCGAACTTTGGCCTTGTCTCTGATGGACTTCAATGAGCTGAGTTCAGTGGCAGCATTGAATCAACTACTAGAGGTATCGTGGATTTTAGAAAGAAATTATAAATTAGAAACCCTTCTTGGCAAATTTAGGAACTACCCTGTGATAGAGAAAAAATAAATTGACACTATTATTCCAGGTGAAATGTGAAAACTGTTAAATCAAGTATTTCTTAGTATAATGTGGCAGCATATTCAATATTTGTGTTAAATATTACACAGGGTTTAAACAACAAGAAGAACCTGCCAGCAGGAGGAGCTATGCTTCGCTGTTTAGATAACATAGCCACTTACATGGAAGCTCTGCCTATGGATTTACCCAGCAATCTATGGACTACAATATGCAATCAATTTCAAACATTTTTGACCAAACTTCCATGCATACTACCATTGAAGGTAAGGAAGAATTTGCTGATTTATTGCCATTTTGATATTTAACAAATGAATATGACAAACTAGGTATGACATTTTTCTGCATTTTATATTACCAATCTAGCTATACATTGAGCTGGTTAGCAAAAAACTACATAGCTGTACTGAAAACTTGCAGTTCGTGTACAATAGTTATTTGATGGTACAGAACTTGAGTAATGCTAAGAAAAGCACATTTTCTAGAAGCTTTCCATCTTGCATTCAATGGGACAAAACACAAAAAGAGATCAACATTTTATTTTGTATGGGAAGAGAGTGCTGATTAGTTGAAAAGTGCCCTCTAAATAGAAATGCTGCCATGGAAAATGCACCAGTTAGATGATAACTGACAATCACCTGCTGTAAAAATTCGGTATGAGTCATGTTTGATAGACGCTATTGATAGGTGAATGATGGGATGTAGTTGATGTTGTAGACTTGCTCACCGAGCCCAGTGTGTGTGATTGCAGATGTTTAGTCACCCTGCTAGGTAACATGGTCAGTGCGCCTCCGGTGAAGTGTTGGTGTTCTGTCCCGCTTGTTATTTATATGCCTTGGTTTGCTGGGGTGGTAAATAACAAGCGGGACAGAACACCAACACTTTACCAGATGTGCACTGACATGTCATCTAGCAGGGTGACAAAACGTCTGCAATCAAACACATCGGCTCGGTGAGCAAGTCTACAACCTAATCCACAACCCAAGCTACAAATCTTTTCAAAAACCTTAGATAGGATGTAGTGAATTGAGCAGTATGTGACGCTAATGGTGCAGTTAGTGAAGTGTAACGTTTGAAGATATCTTGATCATTTGTGTGTTGAAGTTGAACATATTGTCCCATTCCACATGGCTTAACACCTTGCATTGGTGCCATAACTGCCTGATACCACAGCCTCTGCAAAGTTTTCTAGAGGGCCTCCAGTGCACCTTGGAAAATTATTGTGTACCACAAGGATCTGTTCTGGGTCCTCTTCTTTGTGTGATTTTTGTAAATGATTTGGATGTAGGAGTGGAAGGGTAGATTAGTAAGTTCGCAGGTGATACGAAGGTGGGTCGAGTTGTGGATAGTGCGGAGGGCTGTTCTAGGTTACAAAGGGACATTGATAGGATGCAGAGCTGGGCTGAAAAGTGGCAGATGGAGTTTAACCCTGAAAAGTGTGAGGTGATTCATTTTGGTAGGACAAACTTGAAAGCAGAATACAGGGTTAACGGAAAGATTCTTGGCAGTGTGGAGGAGCAGAGGGATCTTGGGGTTCATGTCCACAGTTCCCTGAAAGTTGCCACCCAGGTGGATAGAGTTGTTAAGAAGGTGTGTAGTGTGTTAGCTTTCGTTAATAGAGGGATTGAGTTCAAGAGCCGTGAAGTTATGCTCCAGCTATAAAAAGCCTGGTTCGGCCACATCTGGAGTATTGTGTCCAGTTCTGGTCGCCTCATTACAGGAAAGATGTGGAGGCGTTGGAAAAGGTGCAGAGGAGATTTACCAGGATGTTGCCTGGAATGGAGGGAAGGTCTTACGCGGAAAGGTTGAGAGAGCTAGAGCTTTTCTTTTTAGAATGACGAAGGATGAGAAGTGACTTGATAGAGGTGTACAAAATGATCAGAGGTATAGATAGAGTGGACAGCCAGAAACTTCCTAGGGTGGAGGTTGCTATTATGAGGGGGCATAGTTTTAAAGTGAGTGGAGGTAGATATAGGGGAGACGTCAGAGTAGGTTCTTTACTCAGAGTGGTAGGGGCGTGGAATGCATTGCTGGAGAGGGTATTGGAGTCGGTCATTAGTGGCATTTAAGCGGCTATAAGATAGCCATTTGGATGATAGTATAAGGTAGTGGTGGAGGTTAGATAGACCTTAGGATTAGGGTAAAAGTTCGGCACAACATTGTGAGCCAAAGGGCCTGTACTGTGCTGTTATGTTCTATGTTCTATGTTCTATTGAGCCTGCGCTCTGCTATGTGGTGCCATTATTAATTGTTCCCCGTGTCAAAATCATTTTTAGAATTATTTTCAGGATCTGTTCCAGCCACAGTATACCTTGTTTTCTGATAGACGTAGGAGGCTGTAAATGACTTAACTCATGCCAGCCTCTCTCAATTTTGTACACCTGTTCAGGCATGGAACCACCATAATAGCATGCTTAATGTTGGCACACACTATAATCATTTCAATTTGTAAGCTAAATTGAAGCAACAGATAACGGCTGATGCCATATCCGTTTACAGCCCTATCCACTTTGCCTCTGAGTGTTTGGTGGTATGATTTGCAAATGTCTGAACAGGTTGCTTAATTTTTTAGACATTTGCAGAGTCGGACAGAGAATCAAAACTGAACAGTAATTAACGTTTAATGAAATGTTAGAAATAGATTTGTTTTATACTTGTTTTATAAAATTGCAAACTTATTTGAATGTGTTGAAACATGCAAATTATGCTTACCAATTATTGAGAAAATAAATACCCAACTACATGCCAAGTATTGATAACTTGCATTTTATTCGCAGTGCTGTTTGGATTCTAGTTTAGCAATCATGATATGTCTTCTCAAGATACCTACCACAAGTGCAACACGGGTAAGCTGGCGCTCGTGTGATTTATTAAAATCTTTTACCTCTTGTTAGTCGATTTTATTTCTCCATGGCTGAGGAACACATCCTGTTTTTTACAGCTGGTTTCACTCTCTTTTCTCTTTTTTAAATTTTACCTTTTATTCTTTTGCTTTTAGAAAAGAATAGACTAGAATCCCTACAGTGTGAAGCAGGCAATTTGGCCCATTGAGTCCACACTGACCTTCCGAAGAGCATCCAACCCAGACCCACCTCATCCCTGTACACCCTCATTATCCATGGCTAACCCACCTATCCTGCATATTCCTAGATACTGCACATTCTTCCTTTTAAAATAACCAACTAATTCCATCTTGAATTGCCCAAGTGAACCTGCCTTCACCAACTCTCAGGCATTTGAGACCTTAAGCACTTTTTGTGTGAAAAAGTTAATCTTTGTATTACTGTTGCTGCTTTTATGAATTATTTTAAAGATGTGCCCTTTCGTCCTCGATCCTTTCACACATAGTAACATTTTCTCCCTATATACCCTTTAGATTCCTCTCATGATTTTGAATCTTCAATCAGCTGTCCTGTCACCCTTCTCTTTTCAAAGAAGAACAGTCTCAGCTTTTCCGATCTATCTTTGTGTATGAAATTTCTCATCCCTGAAACCACTCTTGTAAACCTCTTCTGCATTCTGTCCAATGCTAAAGTGTGGTGCCCAGACCGGATTAATGCTCTAACTAATGCCAAAACGTGTGCCTTATACATGCTCAACATAACTTTCTTACACTTGTAGTCTGTGCACTTGTTAATAAAGTTGAGGATACTGTATGCTTTCTTAGTTTCTGTCACATATAATGAGATACATGTACACCCAAACCTCTGCTCTTGCACATATTTTATATCCTTCATTTTATATTGTGTCTGCATGTTTTACCTACTAAAATGTATCACCTCACAAGTCTATGCTTTGAACTTCATCTACCAATTACCCACACACTGCACCAACATATGTATGTCTTTTTGAAGTTCTACACTGGCCTCATGGTTTGCAATGCTTCCAAGTTTCATATCATCTGCAAATTTTGAAACTGTGCCCAAAGTCTAGATCATTAATATGTTATCAGGAAAAGCAAGTGTGCCAATATTGACCCCTAGAGAACTCCACAAACCTAACTTCAGCCTTAAAAGCATCTATTAATCATTACTGCTTGTTTCCTTTCACCTCCAGCAAGTTTGCATTCATATTGCTCCTGTCCCTTTTATACTATGTGCTTTAACTTCGCTCACAGGTCTTTTGTACAGCACTGTATCAGATGCTTTCTTGAAGCCCATAAATAACATATCAATAGCATTGTCCTCATCAACCCTATCTCATCAAAAAACTCATTTGGTTAATCAAAGAAGATTTTCCCCAAACAAACTTGTGTTGGCTCTCAATTAATCTGCAGTTTTCCATCTGATTATTAATTTTGTCCCAGGTTATCGCTTCCACATGTTCACCAACCACTGTAGTTAAACTGACTGGTCTATAATTGCTTGGCTTATACTTGCATCCACATTTTGAACAAAGGTGTAAAATTTGTAATTCTCCAGTTCTGGGCTGAATCAAAGGAAGACTGAAAAATTATTGTCAGTGCCTCTGCAAGTTTCATTCACACTACTCTTTGTATCTCAGCTTGTCACAGTGCCTTGTCACCTTTAAGTACAACCAGTCTATACAATACCTCCTTCTTATTAATTATAAGCTTTGTAGAGATTGAATTTCCTTTTTCACTATGACCTGGGTAGAATCTTCTTCCTTCATAAGAACAGATGCAAAGTATCTTTCATGTTTAATTTCACTTTCTTTGCAGGCTACTCATTTGCCAAATATCATTTTGCAGCCGAAAGAGTGAAATTATTTAAAACTGTCTCAGCTAGTACTTCTCTAAAGTGGTTTTTAGATGATGCACAAGTAAATCTAGGAGTATGTCTGCTTTGAATTCCCCTTATGATAAATAGGCGCCTAGCCTCTGCTTTGTGCCTCCTCTCAGCAGCATCACAGAGGCCAGGACCTCAGAATGTTGTAAAATGTTAGGACAAGCCTGTTACTTCACAATAGAATTGTTTAAAAAAAAAAAAATTACAGGAAGGCCTCACTTAAAGGTATGCTTGTGTTCCTGAAATCACCACTTTAACTATAATGACTTAAAGTAAAACATTGATTCATGTGATTCTGTAGGGCCTTCCTCAATGGGGAAAGGATGTTTAAATGCCATATATATACCCTCTAGGCTGAAATACAAAACTTTAAATGGCTGAATTCTTACATTGGTAAATTATATAACTATTAAAATTAAAAAAAACAAAAAAAGTAACATTCTATTCGCAATACCATATATAATGGACCTTTTAAGAGTGGAGCTAGGGGCTGCTGCCTGGAGTCTGTGCCACTGGGCCTTTGCTCATTGGTCTCCAAGCTGCCTGCGGTGGGATATTGTTTTTTTCCTGTCTGTGTTGTTGCCTGTGACTGATGACATCTTTTTGGGAGTCTGCAATGTTAGGATCCAAGCTGATGTTGTTACCGTTCAAATCTGATCCCAGATTGAAGTCTGGCTTGAGAGATCACGGGATTTTCATTTGATTGTAGCAAGGTATTTCACTAAAATGCTGCAGATTTGGTGTTAACAATAAAACAGAAGTTATTACCCAAAATAAATGAATAAAAAAACTAGAATAAACCAAACTGTTTGCATATAACACAAGTATAAAGATTTTGAAACACACAGTAAGTTACAATCCCATTAATCTCAACAGCATTTCTTTACACTACTCACATGAGCAAGAGAAATTCCCTTCTCTATCAGATATATAGGGTTTAACTTAATAGATGCACATTTCCAGGACCTGAAAATCTAATCATCTCTTCCTTAAATCTTCATACAACTGATCTTAAACCTTCTTAGCTTGAAATAACCCCTTTCAGGGTTGTAACCAAGCACTTCTGATCTGAAACTTTCAAACTACACTGCTTACAAAATGATAACCTATTTCTTAACATACAAGCAGTACAGATTTACTGTGATACGAATTTATTTCATTGCAATAATAAACTGTAGTTTGCTGTATTTTTCCCATTCCATTGTGTAAGATATATTTTAGTTCTTAATTAACTTAATGTCTTACTCCTTAATTTTCCATTATGTTTGATTATAGAGCCTTTTGGAGCCATTTTCCAAATTACTGAGTTTTGTAATTCAGAATGGAGTCTTTAGCCTTGGGTATCTTGTTGAATTGTGTGGTTTGTGTCATCGAGCATTCAATAAGGTAAAATTAGGCCACTCTTTTTATCTTCTATGAAAATTGCTAATTCTAGGTTTTCTCATGCATTTGTGGTTCTTGAATGTTTAAGACTTCTTGTAGTTACGTAGAATAGTAATAGGTGGCTTGTAATAGATGCTTGGCAAACTATTTGAAAGTCATCAAAGTGTCTTATGGATTTCATAGTATCTTGTTATTGTATCTTGCAGGAGCGGGATAAATTCTACCTGTCACGAAGTGTTGTATTGGAATTGTTACAAGCACTGAAGCTAAAGTCTCCAATACCAGACACCAATTTATTGTTGCTGGTGCAGGTAAAATTTTGTTCAAATATTCTACATTAGGGGACAATTCATTTATTAATAAATTGGTAAAATTTCACACTATAACTTACTGAATAACTTGTTTTCAAATTTCTACATGTAATAATTGAACAGGCTTTGTTCCAGCAACATTTGTTGAAAGACAATAACAAGAAATTATTTGATTATAAACAGACAGCCAAATGAATGCATGTGTAGCTGTTGTAGAATTAATTGAGTTTGATACTGCTTTGTTATGCAACAAATTTTCAGAGCGCACAGCTCTTTTAATAATAATCTGAGTTTGGTGGGGATAGATAGGAGAGGTGTTTGAGAGTCCAGTAGTGACTTTGGGTGCTGAATCTGTCTGGAAACCTGAAGATCTGATTTGAACAAATTGTTCCAGAGTACAGCCCAACACTTCAAGCAAATAGAGTAGCTGGCCACTGGTCAGAAGTAGGCAGCAGGAAGGACTGTGAACACTGAAGGCGGGGAGTAGGATGTGGCTCCAATCATCTGGCAGGAAGGCTAGCTCTGACCAACTTGAGGAATGTGGGGAAGGCTCGAACTATGATCAGATGTGGGAAATGTTGGCGTCATGATCAGGTTGAGGTAGAGTGTAAATTTTTTACACAAGTAATTCCCCGTGTGCCCTTTTGAGGGCTCAATTTGCATTCCCAATCCTTGTAATCCACAATAAATCTAAAATAAAACTTTAAAACTTTACTTCTGGGTCTTTTCTAAACCATCATTCACCTGCTGATAGGATGTCATTTTCAGAAACCAGAGCCACTCCTCTCCTCAGAGCTTTGTGTGATGACTTCATGGAGGACAAAGAAAGACCATAGGAGAATTTGAAGATTAGGGAAGTTTTAACTTGAATGTTTCAGGAGTCAGTGTAAGCTAGTGAGAACAGATTCATGGGAGAATGGAACTTAGAATGGAATAGGATGCATACAACAGAGTTCCAGAGTTTATAGAGGATGCAAGAAGAGGAGCCGATATGGATGTCATTGAGAATACAAATGAAGAGAAGACAAAAGGATGAATGTTTTGTTGGCAGAGAGAGGCAGTGTTCAGTTCGTGACATCAAGTGGTCTTAATGTGGTAAGGGATGTGGACTTGGACTTGGAGTTGGGGACTAAGTGTGGTGTGTCAAAATTTGCAGATGACACTAAGGTGAGTGGTAGAGCAAAGTGTGCAGAAGACACTGAAAGTCTGCAGAGGGATATAGATAGTCTAAGTGAGTGGGCAAAGGTCTGGCAGATGGAGTACAATGTTGATAAGTGTGAGGTCATCCATTTTGGTAGGAATAACAGCAAAATGGACTATGTTTTAAATGCTAAAAAATTGCACCACGCTGCTGTGCAGAGGGACTTGGGTGTCCTTGTGCATGAATCGCTGAAGTTGGGATTGCAGGTGCAGCAGGTGATTAAAAAGGTAAATGGAATTTTGTCTGCCATTGCGAGAGGGATGGAGTTTAAAAACAGGGAGGCTATGCTGCAGCTGTATAGGGTCCTGGTGAGGCCACACCTGGAGTACTGTGTGCAGTTTTGGTCTCCTTACTTGAGAAGAGCTATACTAGCACTGGAGGGGGTGCAGAGGAGATTCACTTGGTTGATTCCAGAGTTGAGAGGATTGGATTTTGAGGAGAGACTGAGTAGACTGGGCTTATACTCATTGGAATTCAGAAGAATGTGGGGAGATCTTATAGAAACATGTAAGATTATGAAGGGAATAGATAAGGTGGAGGCAGGGAGGTTGTTTCCGCTAGCAGGTGAAACTAGGACTAGAGGGCATCGCCTCAAAATAAAGGGAAGCAAATGTAGAACTTCTTCACCCAAAGGGTTGTGAATCTGTGGAATTCCCTGCCCAGTGAAACGGTTGAAGCTACCTCGCTGAATGTTTTTAAGGCAAGGCTAGATAAATTTTTGAACAGTAAAGGAATTGAGGGTTATGGTGAGTGGGCGGGTAAGTGGAGCTGAGTCTCAAAGATCAGCCATGATCTTATTAAACGGCGGGGCAGGCTCGAGGGGCCAGATGGCCTACTCCTGCTCCTAGTTCTTATGTTCTTATGACTCTTCATATTATAATTCTGAGCCAAAATCAAGTGCCATTGTGAAATATCTGTTCAGCTTTGGCACAGGGATGGGAAGGGGACAAAGTAAGTGGCAAGGGAGCAGCTTTTATGGAGGGGAATTGAAATGATTTTGACTCTTCCTGATATTTAGCTGGAGATCATTTTCACTCATCGATGACTTGATCATGGCCAGACAATTTGATGGCACCGAAGTGATTGTAGGTCAAGGGAAGTAATGAAGAGTTGGGTTTTGGCATCTCTTTCTAGATGAATAGTGCAAAATGGTTGAATAAGCTGTTGCTACCAGATTGAAAGGAGCAATAGAAATAGTAGACAAAGTGTTTGAAGTGTGGATAAGTAAAACATATTGCAAATTGAAAGGAAAAATAAGCAGTAGAGATATTCCATGAATGACATTCAAATAGCTAAGAAAAACACAGAACATTACAGCGCAGTACAGGCCCTTCGGCCCTCGATGTTGCGCCGACCTGTGAAACCAATCTGAAGCCCAACTAACCTAAACTATTCCATTATCATCCATATGTTTATCCAGTGACCATTTAAATGCCCTTAAAGTTGATGAGTCTACTACTTTTGCAGGCAGGGCATTCCACGCCCTTACTACTCTCTGAGTAAAGAACCTACCTCTGACATCTGTCCTATATCTATCACCCCTCAATTTAAAGCTATGTCCCCTCGTGCTAGCCATCACCATCCGAGGAAAAAGGCTCTCGCTGTCCACCCTATCTAATCCTCTGATCATCTTGTATGTCTCTATTAAGTCACCTCTTAACCTTCTTCTCTCTAATGAAAACAGCCTCAAGACCCTCAGCCTTTCCTCATAAGACCTTCCCTCCACACCAGGCAACATCCTGGTAAATCTCCTCTGCACCCTTTCCAATGCTTCCACATCCTTCCTATAATGCAGTGACCAGAACTGTACGCAATACTCCAAGTGCGGCCGCACCAGAGTTTTGTACAGCTGCAACATGACCTCATGGCTCCGAAACTCAATCCCTTTACCAATAAAACCTAACACACCGTACGCCTTCTTAACAACGCTATCAACCTGAGTGGCAAAGAATTTGAAAATATCTCGAAGTATTAGTTGACTCAGCAATAAATTTGTCTGATCAATACACAGCAACAATTAGCAAAGCCACTGTTACTTTGTAAGCCTTTAATTCAGAAGAAATCTTAATCCAATTGTACAGGGCTCTGGTAAGTCTGCACATTGTGTACTATGTCTAGATCTGGTTTTCAATACAGAAGAGAGGTACCCAAGTACTGGACATTTTGGGTCAGTCCCGACCCGAAACATCAACTTTTCTGCTCCTCTGATACTGCCTGGCCTGCTGTGTTCTTCCAGCTTCACACTATGTTATCTCTCAGTCCAGCATCGGCAGCTCTTACTATCTCTACCCAAGTACTGGAGCTGTGCAGTGAAGACTCACAATACAGATATGCATTGTTAAAGATTTACATTGTGGGAAAAGTTGGAGATTTTCCTACTCCCTACACATGGAACAGGCACACATACAGAGTAGTGGAATCAAACCCCTGGAAACATTTGCGAGGTGGTTAGATACTGAAATGTGGGGAACTGTGAAGATCTTCTGGATAAACCAATTGAGGAACACAATGACCGCCCTCATCCATAATTATCTTGTGATCTTTGCGGAATAGGATGCGTAACACACCATGGTCACAATCACAGCACGTGTCATTCCTGGTTAAAGGAAAAGAAAATCAAATAAACTTACTGAAACAGTTAAGCTATATTTTACCTATTTTAAAACTGAAGTAAGTGACAAGTTTGTACAGGAGTGATATATGCTTTTGACATTTGAGGATTGCAATTACAGAATAATGAGAACATGTGAATAAATGGTTTGAAGGCTGATATGAAAACTAATGGAGCTCTCTCTCATTCTCACTAGTTTGTTTGTGCAGATGCTGGAACAAAAATAGCAGAATCAACAATTCTACAGAAACACATGATTGCATCTGTTTCTGGAGTGAGTATTCGACCCAGCCATATATACATAATATATACAACATTGTATAGAATAACCTGTTATGAACTTACTGTTAATTTCAAATTGCTACACTGCATCTTCTGAATTATTAGGCATCTGCTCCTCTGATGAATGTTACTGTTGATGTAACAATATAATTAACATTATGGTTTAATTTTTGCTAATGGATACTTTCTACTTTCTTCACTGGTGAGACTTAATTGGGATTAAACACTATTATGAGTGAAATAGAAGTGAGTGCAAAATCTCATTAATTTATGTCTGAGTAATTAATGGTAATCAGTGATTAGTGCTTGTTTTCCTGACATTGAAGAATGAGTAATTATTTCCACAGAGGCTGACTGTCTCCTTTGCTATTTTGATTCCTCTCAATTGTCTGCTCACAATGCCCAATGCAAGTTAATGAAGAGACTGCTGCACTGAGTCAATGTTGTTGTATTTGGCATAGTCAGTGTAATTGACTTAAGGGAGACCTGGATAACAAAATACATATTTTACATTTGCTCACCTACTGATGGTGTTTTTGCTTTGTCATGATTTTAAAAAAATCTTTTGTTAAGTGAAACCTGGTGCCAGAATTAAGGATGTCTCTGCAGCCAGAAATAGGAAGATAATACATTTGAATGCATGGAGCTGGTTTAGGAGGGACGGTTTCAGATATCTGGATCATTAGGATCTCTTCCAGATCAGGAGGTACCTGTACAAGAAGGATGGGTTGCACCTAAACCAGAGGGGCACCGATATCCTTGCAGGGAAGTTTGCTTCAGCCACTAAAGAGGGTATAAACTAGTGTGATAGGGGATAGGAACCAGAGCAGTAGGTCAGCATGTGGAATGATTGAGGAGAGGTAGAGGTTAGGTCAAGTAAGTCTAATAGGAAGATGGGCAGGGCCAGGTTAATGAACACAGCGTGACTGGTGGTTTTGAGTGTATTTATTTTAATGCAATGAGTGTAACTAGATAAAGCTGGTGAATTTAGAGCCTGCATTAGTACATGGAAGTATGATGTAGTCATTTCAGAAGTTGGTTGAGAGGCAGGCAGGACTAGCAGCTCAAGATTCCAGGATTTAGATGTTTTAGGCGTGATAGAGAGAGATGTAAAAGGAGTGGGGGATTTGCATTATTGATTAAGGAGAATGTAACAGGTGCACCAAGAGAGGGCATCTTTGAAGTCTCATCCAATGAGGCCGTATGGGTAAAACTTAGGAATAAAAACGGTGCAACCACTATGATAGATTGGCACTGTAGTTCTTCCATTGGCCAGAAGGAGATAGAGACTCAGATATGTAGTCAGATCATGAAAACTTATAAAAGCCACAGTGTTGTTGTTGTAGGTGATTTTAACTTCCCAAGTGTTGACTGGGACTCCCTTAGTGCCGGCAGTGTGGATGGGGCAGAATTTGTTAGGTGCATCCAGGAGGGTTTCTTGAAACAATGTACAGATAGTCCAGCTAGAGAAGGGTCCATACGAGATCTTGTACTGGGGAATGAAATTGGTCAAGTGATTAAGTTTCAGATTGTGCAAGATTAAAGCACATGGAATTAGGGGAAGTGTGTTGAGATGGATAGAAAACTGGTTGGCAGAGAGGAAACAAAGAATTAATGGGTCCTTTTTAAATTGGCAGGCAGTAACTAGTGGGTTACTACAGGGATCGGTGCTGGGACACCAGCTATTCACAATATATATTAATCATTTGGATGAGGGAAGAAAATGTAACATCTCCAAGTTTGCAGATGATACGAAGTTGGGTGGGAGGGTGAACTGTGACGAGGATGCAGAGATCCTTCAGCATGATCTGTATGGTTGGGTGAGTGGACAAATCAATGGCAGATGCAGTATAAATTGTATAAGTGTGAGGTTATTCACATTGGAAACAAAAACAAGAAGGCAGGTTACTACCTGAATGGCTGCAAGTTGGGAGAGGGGAGTGTGCAGCGGGACCTGGGTGTCCTTGTGCACCAGTCGCTGAAGGTAAGCATGCAGGTGCAGCAGGTGGTAAAGAAGGCCAGTGGTATGTTGGCCTTCATTGCGAGAGATTTTGAGTATAGGAGCAGGGATGTGTTGTTGCAGTAATACAGGGCCTTGGTGAGGCCACACTTAGAATATTATGTGCAGTTTTTGTCTCCTTTTCTGAGAAAGGATGCTCTTGCTCTCGAGGGAGTGCAGCGAAGGTTTACCAGGCTGATTCCGTGACTGGCGGGACTGATGCATGAGGAGAGATTGACTAGGTTAGGATTGTTTTCACTGGAGTTCAGACGAATGAGGGGGCATCTCGTAGAGACTTATAAAATTCTAACAGGACTGGACAGGGTAGATGCAGGGAGGATATTCCTGATGGTGGGTGTGTCCAGAACCAGAGGTCACAGTTTGAGGAATCGGGATAGACCATTTAGGATGGAGTGAGGAAACATTTCTTCACCCAAAGAATGGTGAGCCTGTGGAATTCATTACCACAGGAAGTATTGATGCTAAAACATTGAATGTATTCAAGAGGCAGCTAGATATAGCAATTGGGGCGAATGGGAGAAGGTTGGTGAATGAAGGCAGCTCCAACAGCATTGAAGAAGATTGACATCATCCAGGGCAAATATGCCACTTGCTTGGCACCCTATCTAACACCTTCACCATTGGCCTCCTTCACCATGGATGTACAGTGGCAACAGTGTATTATCATTCACACTGATAGATGATCTGCACCCACTCACCAAGGTTCCTTATACAGTACCTTACAACCCTGTGACTGCTACCACCTCAAAGAGAAAGTTAGTAGATATATGGGTACACTGCCACCTTAAGGTTCACCTCCAAGCTACACACCATCCTGACTCGGAATGCATTGCAATTTCTTCACTGTTACTGGGACAGAATCCTGGAATACCCTCCCCTACAGCATTGTGGAATTGCACCTAGTCTGCAGTGATTCAGGGAGACAGCTCATCATCTCTCAGGTCAATTAGTGATGGGTAATAAATTGCCAAAGTTGCCCACTTTCTGTGAATGAATAAAAAAAATTGATGGATTACAGTGCTTTTCTCAATAGCACAAAGTCTGCAATAGAGAAATTTAAGTAAAAGTTTTTTTAATCCTATATGCAAGGGTATTGTGAATCTATTTTGTTCATTCTTGGGATTAGGGCATCCTTATCTGGCAAGGTCACCATTTCTTTCCCGAATTGCACTAATTGCACTAGAGTTGCTGGTTATGATAAGCCTGCTTGAACTGCTGCATTCCTTGGAATATATGATTCTATAACCTCCAGCAGTTGGCCCAGACATGCTTTACCTGGGTTCTGAGGAAGGGTCACTGGACCCAAAACATTAACTCTGTTTTTTTCCCTTCACAGATGCTGCTAGACCTGCTGAGCTTTTCCAGCAACTTTGTTTTTGTTGTTGTTGTTGACTTTAATTACTATGCTGTCCACCCAAAGACATAAAGAAGCCTTCCACCTCTGCTTCATTAAACTTAGGAAGTAATTGGGCAAATCAAGTTGACCTCTTCTTCAGGGGAGGTAGCAAGGTTTCCTTTTCTCTCCACCTGAGCTGTCTTAGTTTACATCCCAAGTGGTCTCCAAGAGACCTGGCAAAGTCAGGGAGTCAGAACAGGCACCCTGACTGGTGACACAGTCTATAGCCAGACAAGTTCAGCTACTGGAGGCTGAGGTGGCACTGCAAACTGGAGACTCTCCAGTCTGGTTATTTGAAATCTTTTGTGGGAGTCTAGAAGACCACGAAGTACTTCCTTGGTAACAGCCCCACAAATTATTAAAAAAAAAAACTAGCTCAGACTGCTCATGCTGAAGCTGAGGTAAACAGTCCCTGAATGCTTTAAAAGTAAGGTTCTAATGAGGACTTGAAGATCACCCTCACAGATCTGCAAACATGGAGTGGACAGTGATCCATCAGGTTTCCTACCACCAAGGCACCTTTAGGAATATATTGCAGCCAGTTCGGGAAATTCAGATTCAGGCACAAATTCGGGTACGCGTGAGATCCAAGCCCATATCGTTATCATTTTTACTGGCCACAGCTCCTCAAAGATAAGGTTTTGCAGGACCTGTCATTCCTGCCAGATTGTGGGAAAACCCGAACCTGCAGTAAGATGTGTATTTACAATTCCTGTTTCGACTTTTGCCGAAGCATTCAGCAAGGTGTTAGCGGACTACATGAGAACTCTGTCCAGAGCAAAAGAGGGCTGCCTTCTCCCTGTGCACATTCTCCCTGTCTGCGTGGGTTTCAGCTGGGTGCTCCGGTTTCCTCCCACAGTCCTGCTCAAATTAGGTGGTTTGGCCATGCTAAATTGCCCATGGTGTGCAGGGATGTGTAGGTTAGGTGTGTTAGCCATGGGAAATGTGGGTTACAGGGAAGGGGTAGGGGGATGGGTCTGGGTGGAATGTTCTTCGGACTTGTCAGGCCCAATGGCCTGTTTCTACACTGTGGGGATTCTATGAGCATGGATGCAGATACCTGTTTGTCAGAGTCTGTTCCCAGGAAATTATATCTGCCACAGCAGTGGTGAGGGAATTGATTCAGTTCTTCATCAGCACATTCTTTCCAGTAAGATCTAGTCAGATGAGGGCTCAAATTTGATGTCGAATATATTCCATAAAATTTCTGGGTAACCAGTGTAACCTAGCAGACATCTTCACTCTACCACCCACTGTACAAGGAAAGCAGAAGCAGTATCACAAGTTCCTGAAAATAATGATCAAGGCAAGAGTACACTCAGGACTGGGATAAATAACTAGATTTTGTTCTGTTTGCCATGAGGGACTCACCCAATGAGTCGACAGATTTTGTTTTATTTGAATTAGTTTAGGCAGTAAGCACAAGAGCTCCTGAAACTAATCAGTGGGAGGTTTTTAGTGTAATCAGACAAGGTAAACTACAGAGCAGGGTTCTGAGAACATCTCTTGTGTGTTTGTGAAGTGGCCTGAGAATACTTGAAAAATGTCTTGGAGAATGATGTAAAAACAGGTAGAG